AAAAAAAAAAAATATATTTATTATTATTATCGAAATTACATTAAAGCATTGTGAACTCGCAGTATATTCTTCACTTTATAATTATGCAGTAAACATTTATAATTTCAAAAAAATATGATGCGACTATATAGTTTTTAATTATTACATGAATAATTATTAAGCAACCTGTGTTAATTTTCMATTTTTGTAGACATTTATGGATAAAAAAATTTCAAGCATCTATGAATAGCTCAAAAGAAGTCAAAATATAATTCTTACGCCTAGAATTATTGTTTTATATATACGCTAATAGTTAAGCAAACTATGTATAATATAGAATATTAGAACATACTATATAATATGGGACATGGGTACAACTAACTATAAACATTAACTTGTTTTAAAGTGAAATTTTGACATAAGGTCACTTAGTTTATATTTAAGAAAGCAGTTATTCACTTGTTCTAGTTCAATTTCAATTTTCAACATTATTTTATGAAGGTGAACCAATTTTTGATTATTTAATTATGTAACATAAATTCATAAAAACATGACTATAGTAAACGATTCTTATCGAACCGAAAAGATTTCATTTTTCCCTCTAAATTTCATTTTATTCTAATTTGTTATCATAAATAAAATATAATTTGATTATTAATGTCTTTGTAGTAAAATTAATAGTTACCTAGGGAAGTGATTGATGCGTTGATAGGACCTCAATGAACTGATGACTTTTGTATTAACATGGTTATTTGACCATAATAAATTGAAGTCATTTGAATCAGAATTTACCTGTTATACAAAAAAAAGTTATAAAGTAAATATATATTATGTTCTAAACTTAAAATGTTTTCATTTTATTTTTCTTAATGATTTTGATTCTGTACTACTTTATAAGTACAGAGTATTAAACTAATTAAGTGATAATCATTAATTATATAATAAACGTTGATAGTAAAATAATTGTATTCAATATGTTAAGAGGATTTCAGCTCAATGTTTGTTTAGAGTTTTTCACAAGTCTTCTTAAGATTGACTTCTTTTTAAGTTAGCATAAAAAATATTTAAAATCCTCTTGATTGTATTGTAAAAGATGTAAATTTAAAAATGTAATAATATACAATTTTGGAAAATTTCGAACAAAATAATGTATACATTAAAAATGACTAACACAATATAAAGATAAGTTACACGCTTATACAATTTCACATTTTTGTACACATTACTAATAAGTATAATAATAATAATATAATTATGTAGTATAATATACCACACTTCGACATGTAGGTACTGGTGCTATGACTAATACAGTAAATACGTATTTCACTCACACAGTCACATGTATTCTATTCTTATAAACATAAATGATTTCAGTTCCGAAACTGGAAAATCCATAAAATGATAATTTTATTTCACTCGGTSACTAGTGAGACAGTGAATACCAATGAAAATTATATTATTATCGAAGACAATTGAATATTATTGCTATGTTATACTATACTATACTTACGAGCTACGACACGCAAACAATAAACCATAAATGCTAAATTATATCAAATAGTGATAAATAATAATAAATAATAATAATAAAAACAAGTTGACCGTGTCAACAAAGGCGGCTTTGTTGGGATTTAGAATGAATTTAAAATTCTAAATATAGAGTATGTAGACTTATTTTAATTTAAAAGGCAACATTACTAGGTCCATGTGTATTGACTATAATATTATAATATAATTGTTTATTTTATTTATCTGTTTTCGAGACCGCTCATTTTGTTTGTTGAAAGACAACAATGTAATGAACATTATTGAATTATCACTTATCGTAATATCGTATGATAATTTCCTTTATTTAAATCGAGATAAATATTTATTTTGTTTCATGTATAATTCATTTTAAATTGGATTTGTTTGAACTTTATTCTTTAGATATCTACGTCAATAGATTGATTTTTCGTTATTTTTATGTACCATTTTATCCGAAGTAAAATAGAATTACGATTCGCAGGGCCTAATATATTTATTATATTATTGACAACTATAATTGTTGAATTTGTTACTTGTTACGTGCAACATACTTTTTATAAGAGTAGTGGTAATACGTACAACCTGTGGTACAACAATCATGAACTTGAATTAGACATAGGTTCAACAGACATTAGTATTAGTCAATAAGGTGGTCCCGTGATATGTCTGTGCGTCGAATTCGTAAATAACTCGGTAGTTTCTTTTAATTTGTTCGAAGTCAGGAAGATAAATAAAATCAGTATTAACATTTTGTATTGTTGAATCAGAATCAATACATGACGGTGATTTCATTAGTAAGTTAACATTATATTAAATACGATTAAAAAAAAATATATACATACCTAATTTTTAATTATAATAACTATTATTATTAATTAATTCAAATACAAATAATTACRATTAATTGCCATGTTTAARTTTTAAAAATGAATACAGACTTAAAGCCAATGTACGTGTTATAGATGTGATGTAAAAAAGTAATAATACCTACCTATTTAAATTTAACTAGTTTATTTTTAATTATAATAAAACAGTATAATAATAATTGTAAAAAATATCTTTTAATTAGATAGCGTACGCTTGCTTGAATTATTATGTATGTTTATAGGGTATCACTGCTTAATTTATAAAGTATTAGAACATTTAAAACTTTCTTGACATATAATTTAGAAATTTGGTTGTATTGAGGTGTGTCAAACTGTCAGGGGTATGGTCTAGTATTGATCTTGATTTGGGTAGTAATTGGTAAGTACTTAGCACTTAGCGGAGAGTATAATATCAGAATAATCAATTTATTCACAATAAGTAATAATATTAATAATAAGTCCGAAAGCAACGTAGTCGAATTGAGCAAAACACCGGGTGCATCTTATAAGGGGTTAATTAACAACATCAGCTACTACCTGSATAATTAATACACGTTTGATTATTGTTCCATAATATCGAATAACATGTAGTTTAATATCAAAGATACAAAAATTCAAAATAAAATATCACCAGTATTCGCCAGTTCATATTAATATATTATTATAGTAATAACTAATAAGAATGTACTCTATACGAAAATGAACAATTAATGTAGTACCTATCCAAGTAGTTATATACCTAAGATAAAATTATATTTACCGCGTATTATTGTGTTAACAAAATACATTTTTATATTTATTTTTTATGGTTTTTACAATAAATATCAAATCTAGTTAAATTGAATATTTAATAATTACAATTTAAATTCCAATATTTTTTTTATAAATATTTATGATAATTGCATCAACAAAATGACATGTTAATTTACTMCGATTATATAACTAAATAAATATGCATTAAATAATACAGAAATTTTAAAACAAATAAAATATAACACGTGTTTTAAATTCGAAATAAACTAAAATTATACCAAACCTACGATATAAAAATGAAACAATTTATCGCAGTTAAAGGTACTGCAAGTAACACGTATGAAACATATTTTAAAAAATATTTAATAMATTATAAATAATTTCTAGTGATAAAAACAAAATGCGATTGCAATAAATTCTTTTCAAAATTATCATTACAT